GAATAAGACATGAAACTGGTACTACTAATAGATCTATCCAATACCAGTGCACATTATAGACCAATCAGTCAACCGGTAAATCGATGCATAGACAGAGATATAACTTTTAGACTGCTTGGTCTCTCAATAGTACGGAGGTTCCATTCTATCTGAACCACTCAGAGCAGTGTTGTTCGACAAAAAAAACAGATTTGCTTTTCTGTATGTCTTGAGTCTAATGGTCTTTCACTGTCGCTATGGAAGTGTTTCTACCCATCAGTGGAAAAACCAACATCTTATAGTGCAAAAGTATCTGAAATGATGAACGCAACAATAATATTCTTCTCAGTAGGTAACAATTGAAATAAACTATCAAGAAAGAAATAAAAATTTTTCAACCAACAAGCAGACGACGAAAAATTTAAAGTAAGATTATATCAGAATAGAAAAAAATGACGTCGATTTTTGTGTTAATGTCAAATTTGATAAAGATAAAAACACTCACAATTCAATATTTGTTAGAGCTTTTTGTCAAGTATATAAATAAATATTATGACATATGTCGAAGTCAACATACTAAAACCAATCAACACCATGAGTTCATCTGCTGTCGAAAGATAATTTTCAGGTTTAAGTCAAGTTGGGAACCAAATGCGACTCAGTAGAAGTCTAGAAACCGTTAATAGTATTCTTTCCACTGAGAATAATAAATTAAAAGATTTATTGATAGTACAGTTCGTGTACTTTTTTATGTACTTTTCTTGTTCTTGTATGTATTTTTTGAAATGAATTATTGAACATCTCATATTGGAAACAGATTAAAATATCGCGTAAAGATGGGCAAATTGGTCAGTAGATAATATAAAAACGTTTTCAGAATGAAATGCCGAGAAAGACATTTTTTCCGTTTCAGAACCTGACTAATAACAATGTTGATCGATTTAGTGAAGCCAAACTATCAAGAATAATTAACTTTTCTTCCGCCGTCTCACTGTCAATTTTTACAGATCTGTTCGAATGAAAACACGACCTCTTGCCAAATTCTGATTCCATTGAAATTCACCTCCCTTTACAACTAATTATTTTCTGTTGAGAAAGTTCAATAGTCGGACACCGTTGTGTTGAGAAAAAAAACAGAAAAAAAGAATTTAGAAATTGGTCTTCTTGTTGGAAACAGTTTCTTTATGTCAACATTAACTAGGACTACACTTTGCAATAAAAAAAATCACAGTTAACTGTTCAGCATTAGATGTTGAATGGTAATGTTGATTAATTTTCTGAATCTTCTAAGAAATTCAAAATATCATTATGTATCGAACACTACTCTTTTAGCGACACTATCAATATTGTCACCGTGCTCGTTTAATGGTAATACACGATAATGAAACGATGACTTATTAGACAAGTCAACAATAGTGACATTTCGTTTGCTTATAAAATACATCGATTGTTTATCAATTGAAAATATCCAATCTATAAGACCGTGACAGTTCGAAACTGGTAAAAATGAATTCCATTGATAAGTTTTGAGATTTAAGATAGATATGTCACCTAACGAACAGTCACTTATAGGCGCATTTAGTTCGGTCAAATATACTAAATTACGTAATAGATTACTACCAATTTGCTTGACTATCCATTGACCAGTTTCGATACGAATTGATAAAATATGACATGTATCATTGACCAAATTGTACAGAATCTATATTACAAAAGGGATCAGATCAATTAATTGTTTAACATGCAAAATAGGTTCAATCGAATTTAAATTCAACGCTGAAAAACTCGTTTGTGGATGTAATATTTGATAATGACCCTTAAATCAATTGCCAAAATTGACAATACCTACACATAGACAAAGAATATCCAAATTAAGACGTTATTCTTAGTGCATAATTTGTTATATCTGGTTGCTCTTCATTTCATGTAAAATAATGACAAAGAAAAAAAAAACTTATCACGATTCCACTAACTCGATATCGCATCTAACACAGAGTGATATAGAATATGAACCATCAATAAATATCGTTCGGAAAAGCACCCGATACCAATATATATCCATCCATTAATGAGTGAATCAGTTGCGTGCAAGATGTGTTCATATTTATAGACGATAGTAGTTGAGATAGATTGGTGATATGGGTCAGATTTGCATGAGATTTACAATTAGTCGTCATAATGATATACGGCTTATTTTTATTCTCCAATCCAGTTACGGATCTAAAGCTATCAATAACATATAATTGATGCCATGTAACAATTTCAAGGGATATCGCGCGATTCACATTGAAACAAGCAAGGGAATATAAGAATTCACCATTGACATCTATTGCCATTCAGATAGTGAGAAAGAGAGTCAAAATAAGCATGACCGTATCTATAATTGCATTCAAACTCTGTCCTCAGTATTTATCTCAAACTTACAGGCCTGAAAAGGATTCTTTGATTGTGAAAATTATCGTTCCCATAAATAATTATTAATGTCAAGTTTGGCAAGTGATAAAAATATACGTGTAAAATTAGACTAAAGAGCATGTATAGTAGAAAATATCTATGATAGTCGTGCTTCTTGATAATGATGTAACTGAGTAGGACAGATAATTTGCTCTATTCTGTTTTGTCAGTATTACAATAGGCAGTCAACATTTATTTCAAAGATTTTGTCTTTCTATGATGATAGAGAACCGAGCAGTATGATAGCAAATAATGACGTAAAAGTCATCTTTCGACTTTTCCAAGAAAACTTTACATGATCTCTGTTTTGCTCTCGAACCTATACGATTCTTGGAAATATTATCTTGAGGGTTTTATGATTGTGGCTTGATATGTTATCGTGCAGGTGGTGTAGGTCTTAGCAGTGAGAAATGTCATTTGTCACTAGTTTCGCTGAGCATCTCACAGTCCGCATTATTTGTTGGCCACACTTCATATGAGCGAATTGCATATAATCATTCTCACTATATCCATACACTTCAGAAATTTTCAACTTCTAATTCAACATTCATGCTAAGTTCAGTACATTCGACGTAAAAACAACAACAATTTGATCCCGTTTACAGGCGAAGAACCTAAGCAGTCAAGAATCGAAAAAAATGCATCGAAAAAGTTACTCTTTTTCTGTCCTTCAACGTATTTCGAACATGTGGATTTCTCACAATGATCGCATTTTAACAATGGCTTTTTGTTAAGTACGATTGAAAACGAGTGTTGACGTTTAGAGTGAGAAACTTGGATCCCTCTAACAGACATCCCCTGCCTTACAAACAGAGATCCTGTTTTCGATTTTTCTATCATAAAATAATGTATTTAAACAATTATTTATTTCCATAGAGTGGCTCCATTGTGTTTCATATTTTAATCTCGTAGGAATTGCGCTAAAAGATTTTTATTTTATAGAAAACATGTAAGATAAAGGAATAATCTTGACAATTAGATATTTAATATACTAATTGACAAGATATGTTTTACTTTTTTCACGATTTTTAGGAGCAACTCTGACGATAGAACATTCTTATGTGTTCAACAGTTTGTGAAAAGGGATTCATCTAATTGACTCGAATCTGAGACGACTCGAAGAAGCCTAGATGATTTTGGATTTTAGCCTTGTTACTCAGCTGAAACTTTAAAATTAATCGAAGAATAATGAGTACTATTAATATACTAACTCTTAGATCGAAATTCGGTCATTGAATTTTCCAGGTAAGAATCTTAATAATTCAGGCAAAAGAATCTAGAAATTCAACTCCATTGAAGATTTTTTTTTGAGTCCACGTCGATCCTAGTAAGTTTCATTTCACAAGCCGTAAAATATGTGAAAATACTTCTTCGTTAGAAGTATTGTTGGTAAGAGGATGGAATATCGCTTTACGAACAGAATCACATACATTGATAGAACCATTTTTTTCCGTTTTTTGTCTTTGTTACATACTTAGTAATGATGATAAAACCAAAAAAATACATCGTTGTGCTACTCAGCGACTCGATTCTGTTTCTCGGATTCTCTTGCACCTGTTTGCATGCATTATCATCATCGTCGTTACTATAAAAGTCAATGATATTCTGTATAGTCGTCAATATTTTACTTTATCACAATCATCATGTCCTTTGTCTGTCTCGCTCATTGTTTTGTTGGTCATTACGGTTGCTCGAGCAGCGCCCATGCAAGATAGACCGTGCAACGTGCAAGCATGTCGTAATGGCGACTGTGTGGCTGCTGTCTTTGTCCAAAATCGTTGTCCATCAGCCACTGTCAATTTGGCTCATCTTGATTTTCTTAAGTCATGCAGTTCGGTCTGTTTGCGTTGGGCCTATCCAGCGAATAATCCGACGTTGGTCATCGGAACACACCAACATCAAGTGTTCACAATTTCTATTAATAATGATGAGCTAACAAGCTTTGTCTCACATTTCTATCGAATCATTGACAATCAAGAAATAGAAATGACAACGAAAGATCACAAATTGATTCAAAGTTACGATTCACACTATCAAGTTAAACTCAAATTATACGTTCCACCGGAATTAATGCCTTATCTAGGCTTTGTCGACTATAACATTTATTAAACAGTGAAATCAGGTGATTTCACTAAGCATTTGATAAGTAAATTTTGTGAAGAAAAGTAAATGATTTCAAATAGAATGAGTGGATCAAGTTCCGACCTCGCGATGAAAGACATTCAAAGTGGTCAGAAATATGAAAAGAACGCATTGCAATAATAATGCTTGTCCTTCTACTCAACACACCGTGTAAATAATTGGATTTGTCAGAATTTTTGCCTTTTAACAGGATCTATTTTCTACATAAACAACCCGTTATTAGGCTTTTCATACCTATCACGTTCGTGACTACAACGCATCAAAATGTGAAAATTCGAACAAAACGAAATATTTATAATGCGTTGAAAGGAAACATTACAAAGTTTTTCCGCTCTAACGTCTCAATGTATATTTATGAGCGAATCTTCAGGGATGAAGATTTGCTTTGGGATCGAAAAAAAAACGAGTTTTAATGAAAAATTAATTTAATCTGGTGCATAGAGAATCCAATTATCAGAAGTAGAATCGTTATCTGTTGATTCTATTTGATTAGAATGATAACGATAAGCAACTGATGGAATAAGCATTAATTCTTTTTGACCAGATAATAGAAAACTATATGTTAAAACACATTGTTCAACAAGAAAAAGAAAGATCATAACGTTAAGATGTTTCAACATAATAATAAACTGGCGTATGCATTATTTCAATTTGCTTGCAGCTTGAATATCGTTCCTCTTTGATCTAGTAGGTCTGATCTTAAAAAATATTCTAGATAATTTTTTTTCTAATCGGCATCAATGATGCCAATGCCGAGAGTGAAATTATTTAATAGTAAATAAATCCTACAAAAATCTTATTACAATGTTGAATGAGGTAGATATTAATCAACTATCTGATGAAACAGAATGTTGAAGTATATGGTGAGAATATGAAGCATTATTCGTGCTTGTCTCACGGACGTCACAAATACTATTTAAAAATATGTGACAGACATTGTTGTGATATTCTGCTAAAAGCTTTTCTTTATTAGAATATCCAAATATCTATTATGACAGTTTGTCTTCATAATGGTCGATGATGTACTTTTCTCTTAAGGTTTTCAACAATTTTCGATCGAAGTGACATTTTATGTTCATATTACTCTGAATAACTCTATTAACTCACCATTCCTTATGTTCGTGGGTGTGGGTGCGAGTTTTTGTAAAAAGAAAACTGACGCCAACACATCCACACCCCACAGCCACAGCCACACACCCATACCCACACCTTTCAAAAAATTTTCACTATGAATAGATATTGATTTCTAGAATTGTCTATAATTCTAGTTCAAAGTTAATTCTATTCCAAAATTTTATGTGCAAATGTTAAAAAATTTAATTATTATATCGAAGAGTAATTCAAATGTTTTCTACTTTTACATGAATTACTATCTAGTAGATATAATATTAAGAATTCCACCTGATGAAGTCCCGCTAAGACAGAAACAACATTGTCGTGGATCAGCGATATCTCTATTACACACCCACACCTACACCCCACATCTCAGAAACATCTAAATACAAAGTTTCTTCATGACTTTGATTCATTTTTAATGAATGGGGTATGTTGAAATTTTTCAAGGTTTCGGAAACCTTGCGAAAACCGGCGTGCCGGATTGTAGGGTTGAGTCAGGTCTTTTGTTTCTTTTTCTTTTAGTAGATCATATTTTATTAAAACTTTTCAAGGGTTCCAGGGATTCCTGAGATACTCCCTTCCATACAATGACTGGGACGTTTACAATGTAAAAGAAAAGTTCTTTTCTTTTGGTTTTCTAGTCCTTTACTTCACTTATTGAATTCGATGTTAAATTTTTGTGCTCGATAAGTTCCGTTATCGACGACATAGAGACTGTCGTGTCGATCGACTGACAAACACTACGGGAAAATAGAATTGGTTTCATTATCCTCCTCTACCGTTGTCACCAACAATGACACTTTCCTGTGTGTGGTTCCTTTGGGCGGACGCATGATTCGATCATTCCCAAAACACCTAAAGCTGCCCACACACCCACACTCCCATACTCGTACTCACACTCAAGTACCCACACCCTCACATACCCACACCTCACACCCCACACCCGCCTGTCCAATACATTCTCTTTCTCCATTCATCTTTGGAACTAACAAAATATTTGAATGGTTAAACAATGGTTCTATCTAAATATAGGAGCATTACAATCAATTGAGTAATAGAATAAGATAAAGTACGAGATAGAAGGCTAACAAGTCTGCAAGAGAATATTTAAACTGTCAGTTCCATTATTGGCAACGGCAATATCTAGTTTTTTGTCATTGTTGAAGTCTCCAACCACAATGGAGAATGGATTGGATCCATAATCCAATGGAAATAGGATGATACTTGCAAATGAACCGTTACCATGTCCAAGAAATACACCTAGATTGTTGTTGTCATGATTCGCGATGACAATGTCTTGTATTGTATCATTGTTAAGATCACCAACAGCTAGAGAGTATCGAGACGAATATGAACCTGTTGAATACGCCATTAGATTTCCAAACGAGCCATTGCCATATCCAAGAAAAACACCAATATTATCCGAGTTACAACTACCAAAAACGATATCCACTCGAGTATCATTGTTCAAATCACCAACAGCCATAGTGCATGGAGATAAATATGGACGAGTTGAATATGTCGCTTGATTTGTAAAAGATATATTACCATATCCAAGAAAAATACCAATACTGTGAGTAAGTGAATTGACGACGCCAATATCCATTAGACCATCATTATTAAAATCACTAATCACTAACGCCTGTGGTCGGGAACCATTTCCAGTCATAAGCATCATTTGCTTCACAAAAACTAAATAGTCATAGCCAAGAAGGACACTCACGTCATTGCTCAAAGAATTGGCGACAACAATATCTAGTCGAGTATCGTCGTTGAAATCACCAACAGCTACAGAATATGGAGAAAAGCCAACTGAATATTTTGTTTCTTCTGCAAAAGAACCATTCCCATATCCAAGAAGGACACTCACATCATTGCTATGCTCATTGGCGACAACGATATCTAGTCGAATGTCGTTGTTGAAATCACCAACAGCTACACATTGTGGATTAGAGCCAACTGAATAGTTTCTTTGTTGTTCAAAAGAACCATTCCCATATCCAAGAAGGACACTCACATCATTGCTATAATAATTGGCGACAACAATATCTAGTCGAGTGTCGTTGTTCAAATCACCAACAGCTAAAGATGTAGGAGAATAGCCAACTGAGTAATTTGTTTCTTTTGCAAAGGAACCATTCCCATATCCAAGAAGGACACTCACATTATGGCTCAAAAAATTGGCAACAACGATATCTAGTCGAGTGTCGTTGTTGAAATCACCAACAACTACAGAATATGGCCGAGAGCCAACTGAATATCTTTTTTGCTTTTCAAAAGAACCATTTCCATATCCAAGAAGGACACTCACATCATTGCTAAGATAATTGGCAACAACGATATCTAGTCGAGTGTCGTTGTTGAAATCACCAACAGCTACAGAATATGGAAAAGAGCCAACTGGATAGTTTGTTTTTGGTTCAAAAGAACCATTCCCATATCCAAGAAGGACACGCACACTATTGCTATACGAATTAGCGACAACGATATCTAGTCGAGTGTCGTTGTTGAAATCACCAACAGCTACAGATCGTGGGAAAGTGCCAACTGAATAGTTTGTTTTTTCTGTAAAAGAACCATCCCCATATCCAAGAAGGACTCTCACATTATGGCTGAAAAAATTGGCGACAACGATATCTAGTCGAGTGTCGTTGTTGAAATCACCAACAGCTATAGAATATGAATAAGAGCCAACTGGATATCTTGTTTGCTTTTCAAAAGAACCATGATTGTATGCAACAAAGATATCTACGTTATCTCTTCTGTCGTAAATGATAGCGATTTCCGATCGTTTGTCATTATTAAAATCACCAGAAGCCATAGCTAACGGATGTGAATCGAAACTAATTCCTTCACTTGTTTGACTTGCAAATGTTCTGTTCCCATTTCCAAGGATCATGCCTACATTCTTTGTACCATAATTGACTACAGCGATGTCCACTACACTGTCGCCATCGAAGTCGTCAATAACAATCGAAGTCGGATGAGAATTTATGCCAGTGCTAAGCATCATTTGATTTTCGAAACTGCCATTTCTATATCCGAAAAGGACACCTACATTATTAGTGCCGTAATTAGCCAAGACGAGATCCAGATTAGTGTCGTTATTCAAATTACCAATGACTACGCATTGTAGGCTAGATCCACCGCCAGATGCATAGGCCATTTCATGTGCCATCGCTCCTCTGTTATATTGCAGAAGGACACTCGTATCATTGCTCAAAGAATTAGCGACAACAATATCTAGTCGAGTATCGTTGTTGAAATCACCAACAGCTACAGATAATGGAAAAGCGCCAGTTGAATAGTTTGTTTGTTGTGCAAAAGAACCATTCCCATATCCAAGAAGGACACTCACATTATTGCTATACGAATTGGCGACAACGATATCTAGTCGAGTGTCGTTGTTAAAATCACCAACAGCTACAGATAATGGAAAAGCGCCAGTTGAATAGTTTGTTTGTTGTGCAAAAGAACCATTCCCATATCCAAGAAGGACACTCACATCGTTGCTATACGAATTGGCGACAACGATATCTAGTCGAGTATCGTTGTTGAAATCACCAACAGCTACAGATTGTGGATAAGTGCCAACCGAATAGTTTGTTTTTTCTGCAAAAGAACCATTTCCATATCCAAGAAGGACACTCACCTTATGGTTCCCAGAATTGGCGACAACGATATCTAGTCGAGTATCGTTGTTGAAATCACCAACAACTACAGATCGTGAAGAGAAGCCAACTAAATAGTTTGTTTCTTTTGCAAAAGAACCATTTCCATATCCAAGAAGGACACTTACATCATCGCTCCCAGAATTGGCGACAACGATATCTAGTCGAGTGTCGTTGTTGAAATCACCAACAGCTACAGAATATGAATAAGAGCCGACTGGATAGTTTCTTTTTTGTTCAAAAGAACCATTCCCATATCCAAGAAGGACACTTATATCATTGCTATAATAATTGGCGACAACAATATCTAGTCGAGTGTCGTTGTTGAAATCACCAACAGCTAAAGATCGTGGAAAAGTGCCAACTGAATAGTTTGTTTCTTTCGCAAAAGAACCATTCCCATATCCAAGAAGGACACTCACATTATGGCTCAAAAAATTGGCGACAACGATATCTAGTCGAGTGTCGTTGTTGAAATCACCAACAGCTACAGATGTTGGAGAAGAGCCAGTTGGATAGTTTGTTTGTTTTAAGAAACCCTTAAAATAACCAAGCAGAATATCTATGCTACCAGTGTCATTGTTCACGACGATAATGTCTAATCGATGGTCCTTGTTAAGATCACCTATGGCAACTGCAATCGAAGAATGAGATTCAGTTCGATACATGATTGGATTTTCAAAATTTCCGTCTCCATATCCAAGAAGTACACCTATATTTTCAATGCCATTGTTAGTGATGACGATATCTAATCGATCATCTTCGTTAAAGTCTCCGACACCAATGGCGTATGGAACCAAAGAATCATTGGAATATAGGATTTGATTAGCGAAAGTTCTATTACCGTTGTTGGAAAGAATGCTTATTTGGTACGTTCCAGAGTTCGCGATAGCTATGTCGAGCAAATTGTCATCATTGAAATGGCCAACAGCGATTGAGTACGGATGAGAACCAAGTCCAGTTGAAAACATAATTTGGTTTTCAAAAGTTCTGTTGCTATTTCCAAAAAACACACCAACATTATTCGTGCCATAATTAGCGATGGCGAGGTCTACATAGTTGTCGTTATTGAAATCTCCAGCAGCTAATGAAGATGGAAGAGAATCATAACCTGTTGAATAAGTAATTGGAGGCGAAAAGTCTCCATGGTCACAGCCGTAGAGTATGCTAATACTGTGAGTTCCGTAATTGGCGGTGGCAATATCAA